TGTATCTGTATTACTGAGGCTAAATAAACTGTTTCGATTTCAATTTCAATTCCAGTAGGATAATATCGAGGTGTCACTGTCAGGCAATAAGCAGTGAGAGGTATAAACACGTTGATGAAGGCAGGGGTCGATTTAGGGGTGAAAGCCGACACAGGTTTAGGCGGTACACAGCAACTTCATTAACGTAGAAATTAACGTCACGGAAATTATGGAGGGGGTGAGGGGAGGAGGTGGGGGTGAGGGGAGGAGGTGGGGGTGAGAGTGGGGAGAGGAGGTGGGGGTGAAGGGAGGAGGGGGTGAGGGGGAAGGTGGGGGAGGGAGGAGGTGGGGGTGAGGGGAGAAGGTGAGGAGAGGGGGTGGTGAGGGAGGAGGTGGGGTGAGGGGTGGAGGTGGGGATGTGTCAAGGGAAGTAACTTAATACATTTTCCCATTTTTCTCAAGTTATCTATGGAACCAAAACTTATAATTTTAACCTTCCGGTGACACCATCGGTCGTTACAGCTTCAATCACCCAAATCTCGAAGTTCTCTCACGAGGGGGAGGCATATCTGGGGTCAATTCATGTACTTTAAAAGTCTTATCTCTCTATTAACTCCCATTAGATGCAATTGTCTCAGTTAATATTTCTCTGACATTTATATTTCTGTTCACCTTGGAGCCGAAAGTATTTATTGTGTTCTTATAAATTTCATGGTGAATAAATATTAAAGTCATTGAACTTGAGAGACAACATAACTAGGGACTGAGGATAATTGTACCATACAGACAGGACCATCGTCAACCCCCCGTGACTGTATCCTGGAGACTGTTGTTGTTGAGGAATGTGGCCGACTCGTGGCTGCCGGGATAACAAATATTCACTAATTGGTAACGTCGGCCGCTGGGTGAGTTGTGTCAAAGCAATTTCTTCAGTTTATTTTTCTTGGGAATTACTTTTCAATAATATCACCACAGACAGACAGACAGACAGGTATTTAAATATATCTGTACAAATATAAGCAATGATACTTGACGTACTGAGCCGTGATAAATTACAATGTTTATTATACAACTATAACGAGATTTCTGTGATGTTATGTTAAAGAAAGAAACGAAACATAATTACAGCTAGAAAATAATAGATAAAAGATAATAAAATAGACTGTTCATTCCTAGACCAGTAATACAATAGGCACGTATCTTAACCTAAGTAATGGCGGTAAATTAGCACCACGAAGATTGAAGTAATAAGATACGTTCTCTTCGTCCTCTGAGTTAAGGGAAGGAATTTAACGTAGGAGATTTTGAGAGTACAGGATCAACCAAGGCGCCAACCGTCACTTGCTTAAGGCTAGGCACGTACTCCCTTCTTCCTCGCATAGCTTGGGAGCCCATCTACCAGCACACGACGTCTGACTTTGTCTTGTTTATCGCCGTTTATCACCATCTATCGCTATCACCGTCTGTAGTCAATTGTTATCGCTATCTATCGCTATCACCGTCTATCGCCATCATACACTACCGCCTTTCCCACTAAAACAGTATGTCGCTAGCGTCATTATCACCATCTATCTCTACCACGATCTATCACCACCATATTCCTGGTAATGGGAATATTACTGACACAAGATAATAATAATGATGTTCTGCCGGGATGAGGGATACTGCAGGAGGGGGGTTATGCGCAGGGGGGGGGGGTATGCGCAGGAGGGTGGTGGAGGGGGAAGGAGAAGTGGCAACAGAGGCCAAGTAGGGTGGATGTTGTCACGCGCTTTGGATTGCCTCATCCGTCTCTTGGCTGTAACATCCGGCGGCTGTGGCAGGAGGGAGTGGGGGTTGGAGTGGGTGAGGCTAGTGGGGGTTGCAGTGGGTGAGGCGAGTGGGGGTTGCAGTGGGTGAGGCGAGTGGGGGTTGGAATGGGTGAGGCGAGTGGGGGTTAGATTAGGTTTGGTTTAGATTTACACCAGATTAATTTTAAGTACAGTTTAGATTAAGGTCATTTCTATTTAGAGGAACATTTCAATTTAACTTCCCCTTCAGAACTTTCTTAGGTAGAGAATAAATTTATAGATTATGGTGGCCATCAGGAGGTTAAAGGTCAAGTTCGCTGAGGTTTGGCCAAGGTCACAGGTACGGGAGGAGGAGGAGGAGGAGGAGTAGCCTCAGTTATATATAGTAAGGCAGGTAATAACGACGAGGTGCTGCCCAGGGAGGCGTCACAGCTATACTTAGATACGTCACTGCAGGTACACGGGGCTCCTACAGGTACACGGGGCTCCTACAGGTACATTAGGCTCCTACAGGTACACTAGGCTCCTACAGGTACACGGGGCTCCTACAGGTACATTAGGCTCCTACAGGTACACTAGGCTCCTACAGGTACACTAGGCTCTACATCAAATTTAACCTAACCTAACCTAACCTAACCTAACCTCAGGTAGCGTAAGAGTGGTTGAACCTCAGGTGAAATTAGCTGGGGGTGTCTAATCTTCACTTCATCTACACGTAAATTACTATTCTTACCGACGATATTACGCAGTAGCCCACAAACTGTTAATAATGCTCCTTCCACACACACACACACACACACACACACACACACACACACACTCTGCATCTGTGCCATCGCCATCACCGCGTGGGGACCCTGAAATGGGGGGAGGGGAGGGGAAGGGAGGTAGGTGTGGGGGTGGTGGTTTATGAGCCAACACGTCATAATTGTGGAGTAAAGCGTAAAGTTGTTGGCAGTGCGGGTGTCCAGGACCCAGTGTGGTATATTGGTGGTGGTGGGCATCTGCTGGTGGTTTGTGGTGGTTGTGGTGGACATCTGGTGTGGTTTTTGTGGTGGTGGGTTGTTAAGTGGTATTGGTGGTAGTAATGATGGTATGGTAAGGTTAGGTTAAGTTAAGTTAGGTTACGTTAGGTCAACTCTGATCTTCGACAGCAACAAGACCTGCCATTTATTGCGCCCCCCCAAAAAACCACAACTCATCATGACTTGCAACTTGTAATGCATCTACATTGAAGATACCAAATTCTGCATGTACCAATATTAATAATAATCATAAGTCCATTTATCTGTCTCTCTCTCTCTCTCTCTCTCTCTCTCTCTCTCTCTCTCTCTCTCTCTCTCTCTCTCTCTCTCTTAGTTCACCGGATATTACGACAGTACTAATCCAGTATTTAACACGAGGCATTCACGCAGCCCAGACCGAGCACACTGTGACAACCAAGATGTTTATGCGACCGGAGGAAACAGACACGGGGCCACCACTCCTCACAGATCTATATCTCCCCAGAGCAGAGTACACACACCACCTCGTGTCCCGCTTCTCGCCAGTATGGAATGTAATAACAGAAAAATTTATGCCGGGTTTTTTTGTCTTTCCCGAAAGCTGTTTAGATTTACGACCCATGGGCCAGACTCTCAAAAGATTCCTGTGTCGTCTTTTTTTTTCTTTTCGTGGAGATGGTAGAACACGTTTAGGCACACAAGAGTGAATGTTAAATATTGGTGTTATTTTCGCCTTTATCTTCGTATCCTATCTCAAGTCAGCCGTGTAATGCATCCAGATTTCCTCAGTTACAAGAATTAAAAGATATTGTACGAATATTTCAGAAACATGAGTCACAGGAAGGACTAACCAGAGGTCCTATGATGTTGTAAACCTGATTATCCTCGCCTGTCTGTTCCTGTCGCCTTCCACTGCAGGCATAAGGCGGGCGAACGTTCGTCTAGTATAGCCTTCGTAATTGTGGTGTTAAAAGGAAGCGATAGTTGTTGTTTGCTCGTCCTGGCATTGTTTTGATGGCACGGGCGTTAGTGACATTGCCTTTTCTCTCTCCTCCCCTCCCTCGTCTTCTTCCTTCTCTCCCCCCTCTGCCCCTTCTTCCCCCCCTCCCTCTGCCCCTCTTCTCCCCCGTTACTTTATGGGACCCTTAAATACCCAGCTGTGCATGAACGTAAACACACACACACACACACACACACACACACACACACTCCATCTGCCATATCCTCCACCATCATCCACCTCATTTGTCCTCCGCCACCATCTTCATCCACCTGTCATGTCCTCCATCATCCACCTCGCTTCATGAACTTTAATCTCAACTATTACATAAATACCAAAATGGGTGTTACTGGGGGGTGGGGTAAGGGAGGGGGAGGGGGGTACTGGGGTGTGTGGTGGGGTGACTAGGGCCAGGTGAGGATGACAGATGAGGGACATACCTGGCGTCACCTTACCGGAACTCCCTCACCTTCAGCCTCCTAATGACCGATGTTGGAGGCCGACTAATGGGAGAACCACCCAAAGGTAATTCCTGCCGGATCACCTGAAGATTAGTCACCCCAGCTTATTTCACCTGAAGGTTAACCTTCTTAACGCTAACCTAACCTAACCTTGCTGTTGGCTTTAAATCATCTCGGGATCCTTCGTGACGACCTCGCTGTCGGGTTACCCTCCCGAAGGCGGTGAAAGAATTAAGTGGGAGGCGGTGTGGGGGGCAGGGGTTAGGGTTCTTCATTCGGCAAATTTAATTCGTCATCTTTCCCTCGGGGACGATGGGTGATGAGTGATGTAATAAATGAAGAAGGAATGAGGAGTTAAAGAGAGGAAGACGCAATGGAAGTGTTGGGGAGAAATGAAACGGGATGAAATAGGCGGAAATATAAGTACAGGAAAAGAGAAAACAGGAAACTGCGAATAAAAATGAAACAAACGAGAAAATGAGAGAATAAAGTACAGAAGGACCCCAAAATTATATGAGAATAAAGTTGGAAAATAATGCTTTAATAGAGGCCACACCAGTCAACAGGGGTCAAAGGTCACAAAAAATTCAACTTTTATGTTTTTGGCCCAATTCAACCTCAGGCCGTTGTCGCGGGAGTTAATAGAAGAGGGATTTATGTTACAATCACTTATTAATGTTGTTTCTCTATTGAACTGTCCTTAATTTGACCATTTAACAGTGCAGTTAATGTGTGTTTGTGTCTAACCGTGTTTTGTGTGTTGCAGGTTGATGTTGGTGGCGGCAGCAGCGTGTGGGGTGTGCGAGGGCGCGGTTGACATGGTAAGGCTGTTTCGACCTGGTGGCAGCCCCTCCGTGACCTCTTCCACCCTCGCCTGGGTCACAGCCACACCAAAGCTACCCGAGCACGCCGTCCCCATCAGCAACAGTAGCCCCACGGGGCCCCACTGGTGTCGGGGCAGACACCGGGGCACGCACATCCCCGGCTCACTCGGTGAAGATGGTATCTGTGTCGTCCCCTTTTTGAAGAAACAACACAAATTGGAGAGGTTCGACGTCCTTGTTTCACTGAATGGATCTGCGAGGATGCACCTGACGCCATGGGATAAGTACACAGCCAAGCCCCATAACTCCATATTGTCTCCAGAAATGATGCTGGCCGTCGCTCCGGTAGACTCGAGCCCCAACTCTGCCCTGATGGTGGGGCACGTGGGGCCGGGACGCAGGGATCGCCGAGCCTTCCTGTTGGACGGTGACTCTATCTTACGTGTGGAGAAGGCGTACATTGTGGTGGAGGAGGAGCCCGTCAGCTACTCCCTCGGCAGCATCGTTCTTGATGAATCCCGCCAGACGATCGAGGAAAACAACTTCTTACTAAAGTCCTTCCTTCTGGAGAATCCTGGGGAGGACACGGCGGAGATAGAGGAGGAGATTGTGTATGAGGCGCGGGAGAAGCAGTACTGGGGGCGAGTCAAGGGTACAATCACGGCTCTAAGGGCCATTATCACCAGCCCAGAGGAACCGCCCATCGCCATGCCCTCATCAGACAAACCTTTGTCCCTCATGTGGGGCATCAACAACAACATCGCGCGTGTTGATTACGTCACGCTCGTGCACACACTTCCTCCAGGTGTAGGCGTCGAGGTGGATCTGGAGGGGACAGTGAGGCACTACGAGGCTCCTTACAGTGGCTCTCTGACCGCCCACTATGAAGATGGCACCAGCCAGACCCGCAACATCGTGTCCTTCCACACCCACGAGGCGCTGGTGGGCGTCGCTGCTGTGTACAGGCGTTACTACGACATAAGTAATGGTACCGATATCGACATACCTGAGGTGACTGAGCTCGTCTACCAGCTCACCACAACCACTACCACAACAACCACCACGACAACTACAACCACGACAACTACTACCACACCCCCTCCAACGACGACGACTACAACTACAGAACCACCCACGACCACCACAGAAGAACCCTCTCCTGAACCCACCACAGAGAACCCAACAGAACCAGAACTCGACGTGGCATGGCACCCGGAGTTCGAGTCACTGTCGAAGGATTCCGAGTCAGAAGAGATGGAGCGGAATGTTGTGGATACTGCCGAGGATGACAATAGCCAGGCGGTTACCAACAGACCAGCTGATCGCGTTCTTTCTGCCCTAGCGTCCATCTTCACAACTCTCATCCTCCGGTACTACTCTACCTTCCCCATCGTGTGATAGTCAGCCCCCACACCAACCCTTGTAGTGATAGTCAGCCCCCACACCAACCCTTGTAGTGATAGTCAGCCCCCACACCAACCCTTGTAGTGATAGGCAGCCCCCACACCAACCCTTGTAGTAATAGTCAGCCCCCACACCAACCCTTGTATAGTTATTAGCCTTAAGTTTAGTAAAGTGAAGATGTACTGTTTATTTTTGGGGGGATGAATAATGTGACGAGTGTAGAGATTATATATAATTTTGGTTCTTGAATTCCTAAGAAGGGAATTCAACCAGTCCTGTATATTATTACTGAGGTCTTCCAACTGGGTGTTTTGAGTGTACTGATTCTATGTTATGTTGTATGTGTGTGTGGGGGGGGGGGGATCAAGATGTAATCACACAGCTGGTGGATCACACAGCTGATGTATCACACAGCTGGTGGATCACACAGCAGGTGGATCACACAGCTGGTGGGATCACACAGCAGGTGGATCACACAGCAGGTGGATCACACAGCAGGTGGATCACACAGCAGGTGGATCACACAGCTGGTATTTGGGCTGGAAGCAGATGACACAAATAGCATAGAGGCATCACACAGGTGACAGACCACTAATAACCCACTTCCTGTTGATGACAATTGTTGTGAGGCCCAGCACCAGGTCTACAGATTACCTCACGAAGATATGTGACATATTCGCACCTGTAGTTATCCTCTGACGAAAAAAACTTTACGGGAGGTGAACAATACACAGGTAATGTTCTTGTATGGGGAACTGTTCTACGAGGTTACTGATGTAAAATATTACCCGCCACTGTTTGTTGTAGATAACAGCACCACGGGGTGTAGTACAGTATATCCTACCTGGCCCCTGGTGGCGTTATGATTGATTTATCCCCACCTAACTGGATGACACAAAGGTGAATATTCCTCTCAAAAACGTAGCATTAATAGACGTGCCTTAACTCTCCAATTTATGAATGAGAGCGATTGCTAGCTATCCACTATATTGTAGAACTTAAGTGGTACAGGTAAACCGTGTTGTTAAGCTTGGAGTGTGTGGGGTGTGTAGTCTTGCCTCTTGGTGCATTCACCTTCATTACGGCTCACCACAGCCTCCTCCTGGCCACTGACACCCTCACTCCACTACACTTCGTTTATACTTGTGTTCCCGGTGTTGTAAGCCTGGAGGGTTATCAAGTACGTGTGTTTCTGCAGACTATTTTCCAAATACCTCAGATAACATTTGGAGTCCCTGCTACCTGTATGGAAGAACCAGAATTGATATTGATATTGCAAAAAATTATCTACGAATCAAAGTATTACCAACTTTGAACAAGATAATTATTATTTTTTTCATTACATTCAACGAGAGAATAGTTTTTTGTTTAAAATTTCGTCTGTGTAACGATAGCTGTGGTGCGGTGTAAGCAGACGCTGTTGCTGACTACACCACTGCAACTCATCGTCTGGGTGATATTACCATTCTCTCATAGCTTCGTCTACCTTTTTGATAAGCTGGTTATGCTGCTGGTGACCGTGTCGTGCTCTGCATCTCATATTCTCACGACTGGCGTTCGAACCCCTGAGAGAGGGGCAAGGACCAGGTAACACGTGTTCAGCTGATGTGTGTGTGTGTGTGTGTGTGTGTGTGTGTGTGTGTGTGTGTGTGTGTGTGTGTGTTCAACCTAACTCACTCACGCCTCACAATACATCCTCGAGGCGTTGAAGTTGTGTGTTATAATTCATAATGAAACAGGTCAAGTGTCCAAGTATCACCTGGTTGGTCTCTCATTCCCAAGTGCCAGGCTGAGGAGAGTGCCAGACTGGGGAGAGTGCCAGACTGGGGAGAGTGCCAAACTGGGGAGAGTGCCAGGCTTGGGAAAGTGCCAGGTTGGGGAGGGGAGGAGGGAGAGATTGCCAGTGGCTGACCAAAACAAAATAGAGTGCCATAAAGGTTTAGTCTACCATTATCTGCCATGAAACTTTAACTAAAACACAAACAACCTTATCCTTTGCCCTTTATTGTTAAATATAGACATATATATATATCCCCCTCTCCCCCGTAAAGGTTGTATATGTTAAATGTATTGTACAGTGTCACCAGTGTTCAGTATGTATAAGCCTTAACTCTAAAGTGTTATAGGATTTTGGAACGGCCTGTAGGTTGTAGATTTATTATTGTATTATGATATGTTAAGTGAATTTAGCTGTTACTCTATTCACTAAATTGTCGCTATGTTCACCAAAGTTATGTTCTGTTGGCTGGATTTCATGTTATGTTGAATAAATTAATGTTGTGATTCTGTAAAAAAAAAATTATTCTTTGTTTTGGAAATTTATGCTGTGTTCAGTAGATCATAATTATGCGATGAAAAGCGAATTTCTGCTTTGATCAGGAAATTAATGTTATGTTGAGTGAATTTATTCCAGGTTAAAATTAATCTATGATCGGAAAATTTATGTCTTGTTCAGCCAGTTAATTCTATTTAGGAATTTCACTCTTTCTAGCAAATATTATTGAGGAAATTACGCTATTTTGAGCACATTCACACAATTATCTAGCACACATTTACGCTAAGTTCAGTAAATTAACTTATTACTATGACAACCTTATGCTCAAAGCTAACATATATTTGTAGTTTGTTCTTTATTAATGAGATTTTCCTTCTGTATTGGCTTCAGAATTTAGGCCCAAGAATATGCGCTTCTTTTCCGCGTTTAATAAAGATCTAATTTGTGTTCTGTGAATGTTTGGGAAAAGTTTCGTTTATGGGATGGAGAACTATTGTAATCTAACAGTTCTCCTTCTACTCTTCCGCATTGTAATGATATGGAAGAGGAATATCTTACACCTTCCCATATTGTACTATTATGGACGGGTTACCCTTATACCATCCAATCAATTACAATATGGTTAACCTTGTAAACCTTTCTCTCCCGGGTTACCCTTATACCATCCAATCAATTACAATATGGTTAACCTTGTAAACCTTTCTCTCCCATTTTGTAATATTATGGAAAGGGAGGAGGAGGGGGGGGGGGATTTACCTGTATACCTATCAATCATTACAATATGGGAGAGTAAATCACTAACCCTTCCATAATATAACAATATAGCCCCTTCCAATTTTGTGTTTGTATAATATAAACATGATAATATAACTTGTACATACAATCCGTAGGGCATTCTTGATTGATGCAACAATAACTTTGACTAGGTAGTGACGTAACATTTGCACACGGAAGGAAAAACAAAGAAAATTAAACACTACTAAGATTAAATACAACTGCTCAACAGCCAAAGAAAGTCGTTAAGTCGCTAGTGAGTGTTGCAAGGTTGTTGAAACGATGCTAACAGTGGCTTCCTTTAGCTGAGGTTAACCCGCCCCCACTCTCCTCCCCCATTGTTAGCTGGGGTATTTAGTTGTGGTTCCTGTTTTGGTGTGGTCCCCGTTAAGCCTCCCCCCGTGAGATCTTCGGTGATGTGGTCCTTGTTAGCTGTGGTCCCTTTTAGCTGTGGTCCGTTGCTAGTTGTGATCCTTTTAGCTGCGGTCCACTGTTAGTTGCGGTCGGTCCATTAGTTAAGGTCCCTGTTAGCTTTGGTGGGCCCTGTTTAGCTTTGCCTCGCCGTTGCTTCTCTGTTTGAAGACCAACGGGAGTCTTCTTCTTCCGTTTATTGTACATAGGATGATCTTCATATATATATATATATATAGTATGAATGTGTGTACTAGTCAGACTGTGATAAGGCTGTTTCATCTCTGGACGTGGAGGAACAAAAACAAGTCCTAAACTACCCACCCTGGTGACTGACGTGGAGGAACTCAAGTCCGACACGTCCAAACTATGTAATCCCATCGGCCTGTACTGGACGTGTAAAAGAGAACAGAGTATTGCTGCTTTGGACCTATTCATTCCCACGATCACAATATTAGCCATAACTTTGATGATTTTTTTGGACTTAAAGGATAAATATTTTAATGTCTTCCCTCTCTCTATGCTGAGGAATATTGGACGTGGGAAAAATAAATAAATACACCAATCAATAACACCCTGTTATCTTTACGTCCAATTACGTTGATGCTTTATGAACACAAAGAGGACCAAGTCCGACACGTCCAACCACCACCACGTCCATAAATGTAATATTGTGTATCGAGGAAAAAAAGGTAATATATGCCTAATTTTTCCCTTATTGTGTATATCCTGTTTCTTCATTGAGTTTTGAAACAACTAATAAAAAGAGAATTAATGAGATGCTCTTTTGTTTATCCTTCATTCCTTTCAATTATATTATGTACTTTAATTTTGTTTTAAATTCTGACTTGTATAAAATATAATTCATGACTGTTTGTAAGTCTGTCTATTAAATTAACTTCCCTCTGTCTCTTCTTGTAGTGAGTTCAAACCAAACCACTAAATCGGTAATGGAAAAAAAAAAAAAAAAAAACAGAAACAATTTGACAGATACTGAATAAAAAACGAATCATAAATTTGAAACAAACTCCTGAAGAAAGATTTGATAATACAAGGCTGGAGAAATGATTGATTAAATGGTCCCTAATCGACCTTAATCCGGTCTATTGAAAGGATTAGGCTCCACTTTTTTTTGGGGGGGAGGGTAGGTTCCATTCCTAATAGACGCCAATCCTGATATTTCTATTTGAGAAGATAACTTACATAAGGCAACACAAATAACCAATTCATATCAAACAATATTGATTCCTTGTACCCAAAAGGTCAGCTCAGCTCTACCAGGCAATTATGAGTCGAACACTGGCCATTCAAGTTGCTAATATCCCGCGCTACCCAGTAATAAGACACTTTGATAGAAATGGAAGAAGAGGGAGACGAAATTTAGAAAATTTAAGTTTTTTGTGGAATCTGAAATCAAATTCTATTATCTAACGCCAGACACAGAGAGACAGAGAGAGAATATCAATAACGGGAAGGACGTAATAACAGAGAGAAGAGGAGCATCAGAGAGAGAGAATTAAATTGAAATAAATGACATATAAACAAACCCAATTACATGAGCTAACACCCATCACACCGGCAGCTCACCACCACCACCATCCCGCACTCAGGAGGCTGGTCGGGTCCTCAACCTTGTTACGGTACCTCTTCTGGTATGTAGCTATGGGCTTTATTTGTCTTACTTTCTATAAAAATAAAGGGACCACGTGGATATTAGGCACCCCAGCTTATTTCAATTGTTCATATACCATAACGCTGCCAGGGGTTGGGTTAGGTTAGATTAGGTTAGGTTAGCGTTAGGATGTTAAGGTTAGGTTAGGTTAGGTTAGCGTTAGGATGTTAAGGTTAGGTTAGCGTCAGGATTTTAAGGTTAGGTTACGCAAGCGTTTGGGTGTCTAATCTTCACGTGAGGCAAAACCGGAACTAAAGAGATAGAAAATAACCAGTAGGGAGTTACCATACTGGGCCTGAGACACTAATGGGTGTTATTAGGGAATATATCCGTAAAACGCTGCCATGTGGTACACCCCCCCCCCTTACTTCTCAATATATAACGCCACTGAACACCGGTATAACATAATTACAATGACATGAGATCTGGAAGTTAATGAGTTGAATTGTTTCCAGATCTGTTGGTGAGATTAAGTTTCGTGGGAATTTGTAATGATCTTTGTTGTTTTCTGTTACATCATATTAACCTTGAAATAGTACATGCATGACGTCACTGGCCGTGTATTCGACCTCGTTGGTTGTCAGTCGAATGTCGAACAATAACATAACAGCTCCCGCTTTGTGCAAGGAAAGGTTCTGCGACGTTCAACAGTGAGAAATATGGGAACAGCTAAACCTTAATAGAGTTTGTAAGAGAGACACGAGACAACACATAAATGACGTGTACAATATTTCACGAGAGCTGGCAACAATTTCCTTAGACCTTACAGAGCAAAAATATTAATAAATATAAATACCAAAATAAAATGGATAAGTGTGTGTGTGTGTATGTGTGTGTGTTCTTCCCACGCTCTGGTCCTTTCCCAATTCCTTGTTGTTAGCAAAGAGTTTATTGTGTAAGATCTTTCATTTGGCTGATCGTCCGGGGTAAGGTGGGTGAGAGGTGGTGGGTGATAGATGGTGGGTGAGGGGCGGTGGGTGAGAGGTGGTGGGTGAGAGGTGGTGGGTGATAGATGGTGGGTGAGAGGTGGTGGGTGAAAGGAGGAAAAATTTGATATATTTTCCCAAAGAAAAAATATTTGACAAAGTAAATCTCATGACGTATGTATTTTTGTACATACGAGAGAGTGATCACATTAACAACAGGACCGCTACTTATAGATCTTTGCCTTTAGTGTACACAACCCAGAAGTGTACAGCGGGTCGTGTCCTCTGGTCTGTCTTCTTCCTCTGGGAAGCGAGAAAGCGATATATCAGGATTTTTTTTTTTCACACGAGTTTCGACAATTTATTGCCACACATAACAACGAGTGGCTGCCAGTGTTTACATCTGGGGATGGGCATCCCGCCAGAGGCGCTGTCGACGACAGTGTTGCCAGAGGGAACTTTTGATATTAGATTGACTGATATTTTTTTATCTAATAACGGATAGCTTTGCATATAGACAATATTTTCATTCATAACGAAACAAGCCAAAGCCAAAATAATAAACAAGACAATAATATAAATTCAAATCAGTTATAATCGAGGTGCAGTACAGGTGTGCCGCTGTTTACACGATATTCGATCAACATGCTGCACTTTCCACCTCTCGACAATCACCACTTTCTAACCCACAATGTTGCTGAATATATACATTATATTTTATTAATCTTCTTACTCAAATATAGCTCCGGGACTGTTACTTTTACTTATATATACAAGATTCACTATCAAGATGACCAACTTGATGTGCGTCTCTACAGTAAATACACAGGAACAAGTTTGCGACACAGCAGAAATAACTTCTTACCATACATGAAGAATGACTGTGTCCATCACCCTTAATATCTTAACCAATTTCAGATTATCACGGCCACTCCAGCTTCCAGATCGAGAAAGACAGCAACGTGCAGGTCACCAGGAGAAGGTCTTATGAATGAGTGATAATGATCTGTACACTTGCATCACCTTCACAATAAGTCATCTTCCACTCATTATCCTTTTCCATTCTCAAGGTCATTCATATTCTCAACAGTTGGTAGTACTATGACACCCCCATGACAACCTCGGAACTCATGACAGCAGCGAGAAACAACATCAAGGTGCTATGACAGTCAGGAATCCTATACCAACCACGAGTATGACAGCCAACCTTTGACCCACATTTGACCATCATCCAATCTGGCCGAATCAGAAGTCGCCAAAGAGTGAATCGGTGTGACCCAAATATGTCTAAGATTATTGCTTGTCGTGCGGGCTAATGTTAGAGTCCGCATACCACAGAAATATACCCGAATATGCTGGTTGTGTTCGGACATATCAAGGACGTATCCGAAACCAGTCCATGAATCAAAGGCGGGTGGACGATGTGTCTTGATAACCCGGGAGAAAAAAGCCCATCGGTCCATCCAGGGGGCTAGGTTAGGTTAGGTTAGGTTAGGTTAGGTTAGGTTAGGTTAGCGTTAGGGTGGTTAATCTTCACTAGAAAAAACAAAACAAAACAAGAAAATGCTGCTGGGAAGTAAAACGCTGACAGCTTTACCTGATTCACTTATTATATTACACCAGCATCAACAAAAACTTCTCTTAACAGACACATTTACACAGACACTAAAGTTACGCGACACTAATGAACAACACAGATCCATGACACAGACAGTCACCTAATTACAACACAGGAAGACGTGAACAAGTCAGTCCCTCTACTAAACCCATTAACAGACAACAGACGACGAGACACACCAACAGACACAGACGTGGGACACATTAAAGGGGCATCAACAGACGACGAGAAAAACACATGTGAGGGAGGTATGGGTGACAGGTACAGAGTGGGGCAGGGTGGGGTGGGGTGGGGTGGGGCATGCAGGACAGGGTGTGGTGTTGGGTGGGGAGGGTTGGGTGTCCTACATGCACGACCTCAAGCTTAATAGTGTCTTCCTGCTTCCATACTGCCTGAAGGAGGGAGGGAGAGAGGGTACTTGCAGGTGAAGGGGCAAGGTGTTGATGCTGAGGGAGGAGAGGGAAGGATGGAGAGAGAGGGAGGAGAGAGGGAGAGGAGGGAGAAGGGAAGGGAGGGAGAGAGGAGGGAGGAGGGCAGGAGAGAGGGGCGGGAGAGAGAGGGAGGGGAGAGGGAGGGAGAGAGGGAGGAGGGTGAGAGGGAGAGTGAGTGAGTAAGAAGTGAGAGACAAGGAGATATATAACATGGGAAGAGAAAATAGAATAAGAAGGAGTAGAGAGAAGAGGGTAAACGGTGAAGAGGAGATGAGAATGAGAATGGAAGAAGAAAGGGATGATGAAGAGGACGAAGA